TGCCTGGCTGGCCCAGCCATCTGTTGTGGGACAATGGTTTTAAGGAAGTAACCTTTCTACAACAGCTCAGGGACCTGTGCGCTCTGTCCCGTGGGAACTGGCAGGCCTGGTGATCAGCTGTGTATACTCCTGGGACTTCCTGCACGGGTATCCTCTGTAGAAAGAGTGTGTTGTTCAGTGTGTCTGCTGTAGCCAGGCCCATAGTTACTGGCTCCTAACAGCTGGATTCTCTTGAACATTATCAGAATTTCTAGAACAGTTTTGTGTATATTTATTTATTTTTTTTCTTCTTCTTTTGGTGGTGGTACTGGGCATCATCTCCAAGGAATGTCAGGCACTAAGCTACATCCCCAGGCCTTTTTATTTTGTGACTGGGTCTTGCTAAGTTGCCCAGGTTGGGTTTGAACTTGGGATCCTCCTGTCTTCAACCTCCCAAAAGCACTGAAATTACAGGTGTGCTTCAGCGCCCAGCTTAGCTTCTTGTTGATACACAACTCACTTTCCTGCCTTCAGTTGTATAAAATGCTATGAAATTTAACATACATGTCGATTTAAGGTTGCAATGGGACAAAAACTATTGTATTTCTAACCAGTTTCTTCCTAGCCTCCCTTCCCTGATCATTGTTCTCCAGTCCTGGAGTAAATTTGTGGAGAACATTGGAGCAAATTCTAAGGCTGCTTCAGTTTGGGAACAGGAAAAAGAGTTGTATATTTAGAATCAGAACACCTGTATTTGGAGCCTTGGCTTTGTGACTGAGTAAGACATCGAACTTTGTTGGTTAATTGCCTAGGCTTCAATTTCCTCATTGGGTAGGGGGGGCTTCCTTGCAGTGGAATAGCAATTCTTCAAAATGGTATAGTGAAGAAACTGCACATCTTCATTGCACGCGCACACACACACACACACACACACACACACCCTCTTTGTTTCCTAAAAAATCCTTGTGTTAATGTCTTAGCAGCCCCCCAAGGTCCCTGAATAATGTGCTACAGTAAGGACAGGATTCTTCTGGATACAAGCTGAGCATGGTAGTGCTTTTCTGAAGGCAGAGGATCTCTGAGAGTGGGAGGCCAGCTGGGAGTTTGTAGTGAGTTCAGGGCCATCCTGAACTACATAGCAAGACTGTCTGAAAAAAGAATTAATCTGGAGTCAGTACATAAAGGGTGTAGACGCCATGCAAAACTAGTATGACTTAAGCTTTCTTAGGCAGTTTGGTGAGCAGGCGCAGGACAGGCAGCAGCGGAGAGGGCGGGCCAGGAGATGAGCTGGCCCTTGGACTGCCAGGGTTGGGATCCTGGCCCTACTGCTCTGTAGAGCAGGCTGGTTTTGTAACCTCTCTTGACTCAGTGTTCAGTGTTCGCCACTGGCAGAGTTGATACACTACTGATTTCACCATATAAAATGGTAATAACTGAGGTACTTTTAAAGTGCTGAGCTCAGTGTAGTAAGCAAGAAGAAACTGAGCTTTTGATGTAAGAATTTTTATTTGTGTTAAAATACCTGCAATGTGGAATTTACCATCCTAATAATTTTTAAGTACCTCTCAGGGTCTAAGTGTGTTTGCATTGCTGAACAACCAGTTCCAGTCTGTGACTCCAGACCCTGGCAGAGCCCTCAAGCTCTGGCTCTATGCATTTCACTACTCTGGTTATCTTGGATACCTGGCAGAGGTGGACTCTGAGAGAATATCCTTTTGTTAGTATGTTTATCTTAAGTCTTACTCCAGCAAAAACAGTCGTCCTCTTTCTCCTGGGTTGTTTGTTTGTTTATATAGGGTCTTGCTATGTAGTTCAAACTGACCTTGAACTCAAATCGAGGTCAGGCTGGCTTTGAACTCACAGCGATACACCTGCCTTAGCCTCCCAAGTGCTGAGATTATACGCCTGGCTCTCCCCGCCTCTCCCTCTTTAACTTTCTGATAGCTCATGCTTCTGTTTGCTTGCTTTCTCAGTCCTTATCGTTAGTGAATCTTTTCTTGTGGGACCAAGATGATATCGCAGAGCTCTCTTTCAACCGTTTGAAGGGGGACGCAGGATCAGAGAAAAGGAGAACCCAGATCAAGGCAAGGGAGATACAGAGGAGGGCACTGAGAAAGAAAAGAGGTTCTCCCACGGCAGAGCAGGGCTTCTGCTGGCTCCTTCCTTCCTCTGGTGTGTTCAGAAATCACCTGCACAAAAATCAAATAGTGTACCTGTTGCCATGATTGAACAGCTGCACACGTTTATAGATTTTTTTTAGGGGGGGAATTGAACTTGGCACTGTGCCACTAGGCCGCATCACTGGCCTAATTGTACAGATTTTTAAGGGCATATTTTCTAACGTGACCCAAAAAGGAAGAAAATAACTTTAAGAATGTAGATTGTCTTACAGGCAGGTTTAGTTTTTCTTGTTTATTCCCTGGTATTGGTTTGCTCTTCGCTTTGGACCTGCTGCATCTAGGTTGAAGTCAGTAGCAAGGGCTGCATGATTATAGGCAGGCTAAGTTATCTACCCAGGCTTCCTCATTCCCAGAGGAGAGCAGATGTGAGTTCTGAGGTGCTGTAAAGAAGGACGTGGCATGAGCCGCTGCTTACTAATCAATCAGTCACTACGCTGGCCATTGGCTTTTGGTGGTGGTATGTCTGGAAGGGTCCCTGGCTGGGTCTCTGCACATGGACCACAAACCAACAAAATCTGTTATCCTTGATCAAGAGTTACGACATGCCAAGACATATGGTGCACTCTGGGGGGCTGAGGCAGGACGATTGTATGTTCAGGCTCAGCCTGAGTGATTTAGTTGAGATGCTGTCTCAAAATAAAAAACAAAGGACTGGGGATGTAGGTCAGTGAAGTCCCTGGGTCCAGTCCCTAGTACTAGGAGTACGTGGTGAGGGCACCGACTTTCTAGAAATGTACTCACTCTGTGCTGATTAACTCTATTTTAATGGACACCGTAGGGATTCTTTGCTAGGTTGTGTTTGGGTTAAAGGAATTTTTTTGTTAAGCTTTTTTTTAAAATCCGTACCAGGGATCGAACTCAGGACCATGGGCTTGCAAGGCTGGCACTTAAGTCACTGAGCTAAATCCCCAGCCCAGAAAGTTCTTTGGGATTTTTTTTTTTTTTTTTTTTTTTTTTTTTTGGTGCCAGGGATTGAACTCATGACCTCACACTTGCCAGGCAGGTGCTTAAGTCACTGAGCTAAATCCCCAGGGCTCCCTGCTCCTTTTTAAATCCAAGAGGGTATAGTGCTAGTTGAAATGGTGGTGTTATTGTTCATGTTACAAATGGAAAAAAAACGTTTTTTACTTTTTATTTTTTGGTACTAGTAATCAACTCAGTACCTCACTCTTGAAAAAGGTTTTGATTGTAAATCAAATACCATGTTTTAGATGGTACAGGCCATATTCCTGGATCCATGAATCTCTTTTTCATTTGGATTTCTAGGAAGATTTCTATCTGCTAGTAAAGGTGATATTTTATCCTCTTATAACCTTAGGCTCTAAGAAGCAGATGCCAATTAAGGAAAGCAAATTGTATGTTTAAAAAATTTATGCTTTGTAATCGTGTAGAACCTTTGGTTATGTCAAAGTGTTTTCATTTTTGGATCAAAGCCTTGTGTATCTTATATCTTTCCTATTTTTATTTTCTGGCGGGGTGGAGTCTACAGCCCCAAAGTAGTACAGGTACAGAGTAGTTTAAAATTCTCTTCTGTATTAATATGCAAAAGTGTCATCAAAGCAAATGAAATCATTTTCCAACAATTAACAAGTGTACCCAAATATTACTGACTCAGCAAAAATTCTTTGGTTTGTGTCACAATGTGTACAATGGAGGTATTGTGCAAAACGCTTTAATTTGCATGGACCAGGGCAACGAGACCAGCCAGTTTTTTTGGTTTGTCTGCTTTTTGTCTTTTTCGCACAAGGTCTCACTATGCAGTTCAGGCTGGTCCTGACTGAGTTCACTTTGTAGCCCACGTTGGTCTTGAATGTGCAATGATCCTCCTGCCTCAGCGTTCCAAGTGCTGAGATTACAGGTGTGCACCACCACACCCAGCTCATCCAATTTTTTTATGCTCAGAAAAACCAGTCCACTTCATAACAATTGTAACTTTAAAGAATCCTGTGACTTTGCTTTGCTCAAATTAATTTCAAGAACAAGGCTTCAAGTTTGAGGCAAGAATGCTCTAAATACACTAAATTTTTATCTTTTATAATTAGGTCAAGTTCCATAAGAAGCCTCCAGTTGGAGCTTCTAGGGTGATTGTCAGATATTTTTAAATTGAAAAATTGATCTTTATATCAGGTGAAAAAAGAGTTAATGGGTACATGTAACCCTTTTGTGCCTCATGCTTTTGAGTTTGTTAGCTGTAGATATCATTAACATCACAACAGAGCATGTTAGACTTGAGTCCATTCGGGAGACCCCTGAGCTGCCTTGGGTATTGGCAACGTCAGTGTCCTGTGTCACTTTACATGCTGTGGCCCACGTAGATCTAGCAGAGGCCCCTGATGCTTTGTGCAGAAGTTATCCGTGGCTGTGGACTGGCAGCCAGCAGCAGCAGGGGGCCAGCTGCCCTGTTGGCCCTGCTGCGAACCAGCTGCAGTTTCAGGCCAAGCCCACCCAGGCATGTAGGGCCAGAGGATGTCCGGTGGATGCCTGGGGAACCCCTTGGTCCTGAGACCCCTTGCCCATCGACACAGCATCAGCGTGAGTGTTCTGCACTCTGCTGCCAGGGCACAAGCAGGTGAATAAATTAGCACTACTTTCTCCTAGTGTCTGTAGGTGCCCAGGCATAGTGACTTGTGCCAAGGTGGGAGGGGAAGACTTCACTTGTGTGACTTCCTCTCAACAGCATGTTCTTCTCCCTCAGTCTTTTCACCCATTGTGCAAGACAGAGCCTTTGGTTTCCTCCCGCCACAACCTCTTCTTAGGGAGTACGCATCCCCTTAGTGACCCTGGGCTCTCTTCCTACAGTGCACTCCTCTCATACACCAGTTTCTGCTTCTCTTCTTGCAGTCTTCCGTTTGTGCTAAGATTGTGCAGCTCCTGGGGCAGAACGAGGTGGACTATCACCAGAAGCAGGTGGTCATCCTGAGCCAGGATAGCTTCTACCGCGTCCTCACTTCAGAGCAGAAGGCCAAAGCCCTGAAGGGCCAGTTCAACTTCGATCACCCGGGTGAGTTGGGCAGTGTGCAGTTGTGTGTGTGTGTGTGTGTGTGTGTGTGTGTGTGTGTGTGTGTGTGTTGGCTGGGGGAGTGGAGTAGCAGTACTTCTGTCTTACCCGTGGGGAAGTGTTTGCCTTCTAAGCCTGTTTCCTGGCTATAAAAAGGGGTCTGCCTGTTCATTACCTTGCAGGGATATTTCAGGTTGGGCGGAGGACTTTTGAAACATTTCAGATGCTGCTGGGCTCATTAATTACTGATGGAGTCTGTATGGAGTGAGGGTGACCATGTGAGTCTGGGACTCCATGGGCCAGCCCTAGGAGCAAATAAGCGTGGGCGACCCTTCTGTCTCCTGATACACAGAGGCCTGTGTCACCTCCTCTTTTAGACCTCACGTGTGGGCAGCTGGCCTGTGGTCAGCTCCCTAGCCAGCCCTGAGACTGCTCCTTCTGTTGCTGTGGGTTTCTCATGGCACTGGAATCAGCCTTCTTGATGCAGGGCCCGTGGTTGTCCCTAGTCATGCCTGTGCCTTCTAGGTTGGCACCTGCCAATCCCAGGACAGTAGCTAGAGTCAGAGGAAGATGGGATGTCCAGACTGAGAGTGAACAGGCAGAGGAAGAAGGACTCCTTCATAGGTCCAGGGAACTTTCATACTATTCTGCTTTGGGTAGAAAGCAGTTTTGGGGCATAGTATCAAATCACTTTTGTGTCGAGACAAAATATATGACAGACACCCACAACTTAAAGGACAAGAGCTTTATTTTGACTCATGGTTCAGTGGGTTCAATGAGTCCATGGTTGGTCAGCTCCAAGGCAGATGAAACTGCGTAATGGAAAAGCCCAATGGAGAACCACTTGCAGCATGTCAGCCAGGAGGCAGAGAGAAGACAGAGGCTAGGATAGGAATATACTCCTCTAAGTTATGCCCCCAGAGACCTGCCCTTTCTCCCTGGGCTCCACCTCTGAACATGAAACTTTTTTGAGGGGCATTTTAGGCCTACACTATAGCATGGAGCTGTGTGACTCTCCGGGGTATGGTGCACATGTAGGAAATAAAAGAATTGAGTTTAAGAAACATTTTACAATTTGATTTTCTTCAGATGCCTTTGACAATGAACTCATCTTGAAAACACTGAAGGAAATCACTGAAGGGAAAACGGTCCAAATCCCTGTGTATGACTTTGTCTCCCATTCGCGGTAAGTGAGCTGTTACGGGCTGGGGTTACTGTGTGGTGCAACCCAGAGAATCCCTGGTCTTCATCAGACCCCTTTACCCATCTTCTGTACTTTGGACCCCTATTTCTCCCCTGGTGGAGCTGCTGTAGTTACCATGGAGAGATCGTTTAGCAGCATGTACTGGGGGTTACATGACAGGGAGTTCATGTGGGCTTCCTGGAACATTCTGCTCATTACATACATTTCCTTCTTTCTGAAGGATGGGTGAGGGACAACACATTCACAGTGCTGGAGATTGAACCTAAGGATTTCGTACACACTGGGCAAGCACTGCACCCCTGAGCCTACCTCTCTAGACCTGGTGCATTGGTTCTGACACACATCCCTGAGCTGTTGTTCCTAGAAAGAGATGTAAAGGGTGAAGCAGGGGAATGGTAGGAAACAGAACAAGGAAAACTGTTCTTTTGCTATCTTGACTTACTTGGAATGGACTGCGCAGAGAGCTCTGAGGTCATAGGTGCTGCTCTCAGAATTAACCAAAATGTCCAGAAAGCATCTCAAGACACTGTCCTCTGCAGGGAAGCCTTTATTTTAGTGACTCTGATTGGGACTAGAGCAATGGCTGGACTTGAAGCTCAACGACTTCCCTCTGAGCTGTGGGAACCAGCTCCTGGAGCGTTCACGCCTCTTGGTCAGGGCCTTGGGGAGCTCTCTGCTCACGTCCTGGTTTTAATATGAAACCCTTTGGGGCCTTCCAGGCACATGCACAGCTCCTAAATCACACATTGTACATCTGCGGTTCCTTTCTTATTCTGGGCTTTTAGTGGCCTGGTCAGTGTTTTTACTGTTGGGTGAAAGTTTAAATCTGGTTTTCATTCCTCCTTCCTGCTCCGTTGTCTGTCTGTCTGTCTGTCTGTCTTTTTAGCTCATTCTCTCTTGAGCTGATTTTTTTTTTTAAATAGGAAATCAGGCCTCCTCATGTCTTTGATTTACCAGATAGATGCCCCTGGAGTCCCAGAACATTCCTGTCTCCTGAACTGCCTGTCTCAGGAAGCCCCTGGCCTGCACACAGCCTGGCTCCTCCTGCTTATGAGCCAGAATGGGAGAGAGTGGCGAGGGTCGGGTTGGAGAGGAGAAGGAGGAGAGGGAGGACACCTTGATGCAGACAGGACTGCTTTGCTAGTCTGCTTGTCCCTCACTGGTGTCTCCTGAAGCGTGTGTGTGTGTGGCCAGGTTCTGCGGCAGGGGTGGTGCAGAGATTGAGATACCACAGATCAAGAGTGCCAGACTGAGCAGGAATTAGGAGGCTTAGTGTAGGAATTGAAGGCCCCCCTACCCCCTATGTTGGGACCTGGGAGAGAGGCAGCGTGGAAGGTGGCAGCCAGCAAATAAGACAAAGATGCTCCTGTGGTCCCCAGCCTGCCCATTGGAGCAGACTCTGTTAGCCTCTATTGGGCAGGGCAGATTTGGCTTCGCCATTGACTTCTAAGTCTTCATTGGCAAAATAAACCTGCAGCCACATGGGTGCTGGAATCCTGCAGATTGCACTTCCTGCTATAGAGGGAACTGGGGGTAGTGTTGCACACAGACACTTCCCAATTCAGGGAACGACTTACAGTGCAGCGTGACAACTAAGGCGAGACCCTTGGAGGACCAAGGAGAGAGCGCTTTGGGGTGCTGCAGCCTAGGTATACAGAGGAGGCCATATTTAAGCTGCTCCATTGGAAAGGATAGGTTGTTTGGGAAAGGAATTTCAGGAATAGATAGGCGTGGACAAGTGTGGGGACCTGCAGTGAGCCAGGTATGGCAGAATGGGGCTCATTGTGTGGGGTGAAAGACAGGAGGTGAGGATATGGGCAGGCTTACATCATGCAGAGCTACACATGTCAGAGCCAGCCGCACAGGTGATAGGGAGCCACAGTTGGCTGGGATGTATCAGTGGAAAGGTCATTCTGGTGCCGGAGCAGAGAGAAATGCCAAAGCTGTAGATGACGGCCTTTTGAAGATCCTGAGTGTTGGACGGTGAGGGAGGGTGGCAGGAAGGAGTTCAAGGCCTGACCACTGCAGGGTCAAGGAGTAGAGGGGGTTGTAAGCGAAACACCTGCATCATGAACCCTGGTAGAATTCACAATTTCACCTTTCAGCGTGACTTGTCTCATACTTTATATTTGAAGCTTTTTTCTTCAGTGGCCACAGCTCGTCTTTTCTGAGAAATGTCCTGACCGCCCTAGACCATAGCAACTCTCAAGGGCCATTTACAAGGTGTCCAGCTGCTTGGGGTTAACTGATCTCCAGTCCACTTAGGGGCTTTTGGTATCTTACAAGTCTGTTGACCACTGAGAGTAGACTCCTTTGCTCACATTCCTGTCTCTGGTCTTCTTCCTTATCTTGGCTTAGGTTATCTCAAATGATCTCATACTGGTGGACTCTACATTTGTTTTGGGGACTTCCCCATGGCTCTGAACTCCTAAGATGTGTGTCATACCAAGTATGACTGCTTTTTGGGCTAGCAGTTAGTTACTCAATAAATGTTCGTTTTTTCAGGTCTTGAGTTGTTTTGAATATTTTCCCCACCTAGATCTACATGTGAATGAGAGGAATGAAAAATTGTAGCTTCTTAGGAAACCAACAGCAAAGCCTTCCTAGAAAAGCACTTACTCAGTTTTAGCATTTGCCAAGCGTCTTGATAAGCATGTCACATAGTTCGGAAACCTAGCATAAGTGAGCTCATCTCTGTTGATGTTTTTCAGACCAGCCTCTAGGAATCCCATAAACACCTCCTCTGCTTCCCCATGGGGGACAGAAGTTGGCTAGAAAGGCTTGTGGTTTCACTTACACTTGGGTCCTAACCCTAAACACAGTGGACATCCAGCTAATGTTTTTCTCAACTCTGGCTGCAAAGTTGAAATACTCAGGAGCTTGCAAACAACTCTGAAGCTCCAGTGCTGCCTGAGAGGCTTTAAATCAAGGGTTAGGGTGAGGCCTAGGGTGCAGGCGTAAATATTTTCAGAAGCTCTCAGATGACATGGATATGCATCTGAGCTACCCATGGTTTCAGACAATCTCCTGAGCAGCCCGGCCAGGTTCTTCTGCTCTGCATGCCCTGTGTTCTGCCCCAGCAGTACCAGCTGTAGGACTCAGCCATGAGCCCAACAGTCTGAGCTCACGAGCCAGACAGTATTTCTGTGAGGAAAGTTCTGTTTTATTTGGTTTTGCTCACAAATATGAGATCTGCTGCAAGTGAGGATGAACATACACCTCGCAGCAGCGATGGTCACTACTTTGGCATTGAATTTGAGGCAGTAGGGGACCGTGAGGAGGCTGCAGGACAGGGTCCAAGGGATACAGAGACAGGGAAGTCAGGTGGGTCCAAGCAGGTGCTGTCTGTGACACATCCTTCCCTAATTCGCTTTGGCAAGGTTTCAGTCATTGGCTTTTGAAAAATCATGTTCACCTTGATCTCTGCCGTGGGCATCCCAGCCTGTGTGGAGAGGAGAGGAAGGAGCAAGTGTATTTCTCTACTTTATCCTTAAGGACATGGAGCCCTAGCAGCTAGGTCTTGTCCCCAGCTGTGTGCTGGCTGTGAAGGAACCACGGCAGACAGAGCCCAGGACTGGCCACTTACACGCATATGCTTTCTGTTCTGTTGCCTTTTATCTCAGGACCCCCCCCCCCATCCTTTCCCTGGCCTCAGGTCTGGGGGAGGGGTTGGGAAGCAAGAGAAAACCGTGACTGTACATTTCTATTTTTGTCTGTCTCTTCTCTCTATTCTGCAGCAGGCTGTTTTATTCCAAGGACCAGACATCTGTCCTCTATGTCTGCTTGATGGCAAAAGCTCACAGAGCTGAGACCCGTCCTCCCAGCCCTGCTCACTGCTGCCTGGCCCTGCAGTGGTGGCAGAGGTTCTCAGAGGCTGTTAGCTCCGTGCTTTCAGCCCCGCACTGGTCCCGCAGATGGGCTGCCGCTTGCCTTCCTCTCCCTTGCTCACCCTGAGGGCCTGACCCATGCTTTGCTCTGTGCTTTTCAGGAAGGAGGAGACGGTCACTGTCTACCCTGCAGATGTGGTGCTCTTCGAAGGGATCCTGGCCTTCTACTCCCAGGAGGTGCGAGACCTGTTCCAGATGAAGCTCTTCGTGGATACAGATGCGGACACCCGACTGTCCCGAAGAGGTGCGTTCTGGAAGCTACTGGTGGCCCTGTTGTTAGTGGTCTCCTCGTGGAGGCAGGGGACCAGGGAGCCCATGACAGACCCCTGGCTTCCCTGAGTCTGAAGCCTGGGCCTTCTCTAGGCAGCCGGGTGGCTACGTGGCCCAGCCTGGCTGTGTTAGCTCAGCTCCAGGATATCCTGCTGCCCAAATGTTTGATGACACTTGAGAAGGCATTAGTCATTTAACTGTTTCGGATAAGGAGAGGCTTGTGAGGTCACTGAGATGAAATACGAACTGGAAGGTCTGGTTTCACTGGGAAAAGTTTGCTTACATGCCCAGTTCCTCATGATTTTTCCACCAGGCATTGAAGCAAGATTCCTTAATTTTTGGAACCAACCATGGTTATCTGGCGATAGGAGCCCCTGTGCCTGTGTGTCAGGCAGCCGCCCCACCCCTGCTTCTTCATCTGTTCAGCAGCAGGGTTGCCCTGGGGCTGCCCAGCCTGTGCCTGCCACGGAAGGTGTAGATATGCCTGTTGACTGGGGTGATTTAGTAGCATCATTGCAAGTTGGTGAAAGGGTCCTGGGTTTTGCCCTGTGAGTCAGAAGGAGCCACTTCCACACCAGGAGGGAAGGACACAGGAGGACCATGTGACGGAGGAAAGAGTGGGGATGGGTGGCCTGGATTTTAGCCTCCATGGAATCCGTTCCCTTCTCCCTCTCAGCCAACTTTGTGACTTTGGCGGCCCTTGAGTTGGTCGGTCTCCTTGGACTGGAGTTTCGATTAGAGACCATGAGACAGGCCTCCTTTCAGCAATGTGACGCTGGCTTGGTGTAGTTGCTTGGTCTCTTTAGGTAGTTAGTTAAGCCTGAGCCTGACACCCCCACTCTCCCCCAAGCTTCTACCCCAGAATCTGTTCATCACCTTATCCACAAAGCTCTGGGCCTGTCCTGTTTGATGCTTGGTGTCCATTAGATGCCAAATTAGGGAAGCAGCATGGTGCTTTGAGAGTAATAAACTTTGGAGTCAGTTTAACAGGTCTGGGAGCTCAGTTTTACCACTCAGCAGATGCGCAGCCTCGGGGGAAACTGCTGCAACCTTTTGTACTTCATTTTCCTATTGAGTGATCACCAAACTGTTTGAACTGCTGGAAGAGTTTCAAAGATTAAAGGCATCAAAGGGACAGTGTCTGGTGGCATGTTAGTTAGCAGATACTTATGTGGTAGGTAGATCAGAAGTCCACTTCTGCTGAGGAAGCTGGTGTCCATTTCTCTGAGTCCACAATGGGACTAGATGGTGCTTCAGAGTAGGGCTGGGCTGGTCAAGTCCTCAGGAGCTGGTACCATCAGGCCTAATGCCAGCACTGTGGGACTCAGTCCCAGGGATGCTTGAGTAAAGCCTTGTGGGAGAGACTGCAAAGATGCCTGGGAAATAAGAGCCATGTTTAGGGTAAGAGCAGAGTCCCTGGACAGCAAGTGAGTCATGGCGTCTAGCTGAAACAGGTTGTCATGGTGTGGGTTAAACAGCAGAGCCCTCCCTTGGTTGGCCTGTATGAAATGGGACAGACCCTTGAGGTGATGGGAAACCCCCACCATCTAGAGCTTTCTTGGAGGTGGTTCCAGCCCTGTCCTTCTGCTGCCCAGGCAAATCCCTGCTGTCTCGGCTCATAGCTGCTTTGGTGGATCGCCTGCTGTTGAGTCACTGCTAGGACTTTCCCACGTGCTCTTTGTGCAGATTCATTTGCTCTCTCCACACAACAGAAACCGTGCGTGAGTTTCAGGAGACTCGAGCGAGTGCAGGGTTTTGCCATCTGTCTCCCACACTCCAAAGGCATGTGACCTTCACATTCCGGCTGAGCCTCCTGGGAGAAAAGCAGCCCCGGAGAAACACACCTCCTTCCCACTGGAGCCCTCATGCTTCAGGGCTTGATTTGACCGTCTTCCCTCTCTGTGTGCTCTAAGTGCTGGGATACAGGGATGGATAGGAAGAAACAGGTGTCTAGGGCTGTAGCACCCACTGGCATCGCTCTGTGGCTCACGCTGCTAGGACTGCCCTGGGCCTTAGAGATGACATTTGGCCTTTTCCTATGGGCTGATGCATTGAGTAATTGTCCTGATTGTCGCTCCTTCTAAATTCTCACTTTGCTTTAGTGGGTCACAGAGCACTGCTGGTGCTGCGTGCCCATGTAGCTTCCTGGCATTTGCTGTACCCTCCCAAAGGGCCTGTGCTGGCCTTGCGGAGGTGCTGGGGTCAGAGTGAGATTGGGCTGGTTTTGGTTCCCCGGAGCTTCTGGTTTGTGCCAAGACCTTGACATGGCCATGTCTGTTGGCTGTGCCTGAGGACCTGTCTCAGGGAAGACCACTGTCGGCTCAAGGTGACCCCTCAGGAAGTAGAGTGGGCAGTGCCCTCTGACCTTGTGTTCCTGGTGTCTGGGTGGCTTTCCGACCTGTTTCTGTGTCATGACTCTTCTCTCCCATATTGGTGCCCTGCATTGTGTCTTCGCCTGTGTTCATGTCCCCTGTACCCTGGTGGCCCCCTCTTACCAGGTTTGGCTGGCATTGTGTCTGAGTTTGGCAGTGTGTCCCCCACCATGCTGGTCTGACCTGTGAGGGGACCCCTGCTTTCTGGGGGTCTCCTTGGGTCCTACCGGGCCTTTCAGAGCAATGGAGGACTCTGGCCACCTGCCGTGCTGGGGAGCTTGGGCTCCTCTTATTTAAACTGTAGTTTATAGGAAGGTGTGTTCATGGCCTCTGTGGTGGAACAGGGGGAACGGAGATGCAGGGAGGATAAGCAACTCGTCCAGGGCCACCGGGATAGCAGTTCCTGGGTCCTGGATTCCAGTGCAGGTCCATTTTGCCCCAGGCCCATACCCACTAACTGGAAAAGCAAGAAGAAGCATCTGGGCCACAGCGTGGCTTTGCTGTAACTGCCACACACTCTGCTTTCCACTGCCGGTAGCTTCTCCCTGCAAGACCAGGGAGCCTGAAGCCTGGGGTGCTGCCAGAGGGAGGGCTGTGTGGGGAGGGCCTTCTGGCTGTGAGCACTGCTGGGAGAGTGACAGACTCCCCGGAGCCAATGCCACCTGCATCTGGTAGAAAGCCTGCCTCCGGGAACCGGCTCGGCAGGGGAGGGGAGCTTCGTGGGTCTGTGCGTGCCTGCTCTCCCTCCAGCTCTGATAGCCTTTTGGTCTGGTTTCCTCCTTCCTTGGTTTTATCTGAAGGTGCATGAAGAACAGGAAGCTGAATGGCTGTGTATTTTGGCTGCTTGAAGTCATTAGCTACATGTGCCCAGCTCTCAGGCAGGGGACATGGGATGAGCCACGTGGCCGCCTCTAGGTCTAGGTTCAAGTTGCCATGGGTCCAGGGGAGCAGGGCATGTGGCAGTGCCTGGAAGCCTGTTTCTGGTGTGTGTGTGTTTGTGTGTGGCGGGGGGAGGGAGGGTACTGCTGTGGAGACCTGGGACTGAGTCCTGGGGTTGTGTGTGTGTGTGTGTGTGTGTGTGTGTGTGTGTGTGTGTGTGTGAGAAGTCCTGACACATGGGGGCTTACATCACCATTTTTGTGGCAAACAACTGTGGCAATCCAGGAGTTGGTTCTGTCTGGTGGTGGCCTTGGAAGGTGGCATCCTGGCGGTTTTCTAGCCCTCTGGCCGTGCAGATGGCCTGTGTACATGGATCATCACCCTTCCAGGCCGTGCACGCGCGAGTGCTCTTTATATGCACCATTGCGCTGAGGTGTGGCTTTTCTGCAGTACATTCGCAGGGGCTCCTGTGCATTTATCCTATACCTGAGACCTGAGTCTCCTATCTGAGAAATGGTCCAGGAGGGGTTGTTGTGCCCTTGTCAACGATTATAGATGGATGGTGGCCTTTGGGAACCAGAGAGACAGACAGATAAGGCAGCTCAGGAATGAGATTTAGAAGAGAGCCGTGTTAGTGCAGAGACTGTGTCCCCAAGCTCACTGCTTAGGGGAACTGAGACAGAAGAATTCCAAGTTCTTATCCAGCTTGTGCAGTTCAGCAGCTTGGACCCTGTCTCAAAATAAAAAATGACGAAAAGGAAGGAGAAGAAGAGGAGGGAGGAGATGAAGAAAGACCTGTTGATGTAGCTTAGTGTGAAGAGAAGACCCTGGCAGGTTCAATCCCCAGTAGCTTGAAAAAAGTGGTGAAAAGCTCTATTTCCTGAAAACTGATCAAGCGAAGGTGGAATCTGGCAAACCTGGCTCATATTGACTCCTTCCTTGCCCCAGCACCCCATTTCCTAGTTTGAGGGTCTCTCACTGAGGGGGCCCAGGCTGTTCTCTCATAATGAGCCTCTTGACTGTCTTGATTTGGGGTAGGGGGTGTTTCAAACTAAAATTTAGTTTGGGTCACATGTGCTTGACACAACAAGGCTGTTGGCCTCAGACAGCCTTTTGTTTGAGAGGACATTTTGAAATAGAATTTGACAGTAGCACAACTTAGAAATGCAATTGGTGATGTGGTGATGCAGACCTACAAACTCAGCACTTGAGAGGCTGAGGCAGGAAGATCTCAAGTTTGAGGCCAAACTAGGCTACACATACCCATATTGAGTTCAGGTGTCTTGGACTATAGAGCAAGACCCTGATTCCCCTTGCAAAAAAGAAGTAAGTATTTTGTTTTCTTAACCGGCTGCTACTTGGTTCTTGGTAAAGCCTCTTATGAGTCCAGTGTTTGCTTCATCTGGGGTAACCAGGAGCCTGGTTGCTGAGGGCAGGGCAGATGTGTGCTGTGTCTCTGCAACATTTTCTTGTTTTTCCCTTCCAGTATTAAGGGACATTAGTGAAAGAGGACGTGACCTGGAGCAGATTTTGTCACAGTACATCACATTCGTCAAGCCTGCCTTTGAGGAGTTCTGCTTGCCAGTGAGTTGCCTTCTTTTTTGTTTTTGCTGAATGTAGAACAGGAGATTTAAGTTGCCGGAGCAAACTGAGTCTTTAACCCCACTCCAGTCTCTGAGGATCCCTGGTCCTGCAGCTCTGGAAGTGTCTGAGCTGGGGCCCAGGCTCATGTCTGTGAGCTCTCTCCTGCATCCTTGCTCCCAGGCCCTTTGGGTTTGGGCCACTCCTCCAGCCAACTTGTGCCTCCCAGAAGATTGTGCATTTCTTGCTGAATCCTGGGCGGCTGTGGAGTAGGGTTCACTGTAGCTGGGCACAGCTAGAAGGTGCAGCCGGGTGTGGGGAGATGCTGCCCCCTGGCGGTTGTTTTCCTTGATTCCTGCCTCCAAAGGGCTGTGCTCCCCTGGAAGGGATCCTTGCTTCCTTCCTGGCAGCTACGGCGGGGGATGCCCCTGGCAGGGCTAGCAGAGAAGGAAGGACCAGCCCTCAGCTCAGGACACCGCTAAGTCTTTCCAAGGATTGGGGCTGTGGCAGAAAAAGATAGGGCTCCGTCTCGGCTTTGAAAGGGAAGTGGTCAGCCCCAGGATTACCATGCCTTCCTCACTTGGCCTAATCATCGGCTGATTCTTTTTAATAGAATAGAAATGTACAGAGAATTTTTTTTTTCCAAATCCATTTTATTTGACGATAAAAAGAAAGAAAAAAGAAAAAAAACCACAACAAAATTTCAGAACACATTAATCGGGGACAACAGTGGTACATACATTGTGCATTGTCACCCCCAAATCATTCACCCAGAGCACAGGACTTCTGCATTCAGTTGTCTGAACAATACCAGCACAAATAAATCTTTCTATTCAGCGAACTCAGAGAAATCAGTAGTATACCTATCTTAACTATTTTTTATACATATATATACACTTACACATATGTATTTTTCTTTCAGTTTGTCACACTAATGAAACAATACGATATTACGTATCTAGGTCTTATTTCACTAGTGAGTATGGTCTCAAGTTGCATCCGTTTACCTATACGTGTCCAGTTTATCCTTCTTTATGACTGAGTAGTATTGTATTGTAAAACAAGAGTACATCTTCCTTTAATTCTTTGGGGAAGATACCCTTAAGAGGAATAGCTGGAGAATAGCTCAATGGGACCTCCAATCCTAGGTTCTGAGGAATCTCCACACTGATTTCCTTAGTAGCTGTACCAGTCTGCATTCCCACCAATAGTAGAAAAAGGTTCTTTTTCCCTCACAACCCCTCCAGCATTTGTTATTGCTTAATTTTTTGATACTAGCCATTCTTTCTGCAGTGAGATGAAATCTCAGTGCTGTTTTAATTTGCTTCTCTCGAATGACCAGTGCTGTTTAACGTTTCTTCACGTATTTGCTGTTATATTTTCTTATCTGAGAAGTATGTGTTCATCTCAGATGCCCATTTTTGGATTGGGTCTTTAAATTGGAGGACTTTTTTTTTTTTTTTTTTTTTTTTTGAGTTCTTCATATGTTCTTAATAGTAATCCTTTGTCTGAGGAACAGCTAGCAAACATTTTCTGCCATGTTGTGGGTTGTTTCTTCACTCTGTTGGTGGTTTCTCTTGCTGTGCAAAAGCTTTTCAGTAGGTTGAGATCCCAGTTGTTGATTCTTTGTGATAGTTCCTGTGCACTCTGGGGTTTTTTCATGTCTGCCTACACCAGCATCTTCAAGAGTTTTACCTACTCTATCCAGCAGATTCAATATTTTTGTTTTAATGCTAAGATCGTCAATCCATTCTGATTTTAACTTAGTACACAGTAAAAGATAGGGATCCAATTTTCATCTTTGGCATGTGAAGAGCCATTTTCCCCAGCATCATTTATTAAAGAGGCTATCTTTTTCCAGTGAATGTTGTTGGCACCCTTGTCAAAGACAAGATAGCTCAGTATACCTGCGGTTATTTCTGTATCTTCTATTCCATTGATCTTCGAGTCTGGTTTTTTTTTTTTTTTTTTCCCATACCACACTATTTTTACCATACAAGTGTGTAAGCCTCTGAGCTAAATCCTCAGCCCCTGGATTACAAATGTTGAACCATCCCTGTATCCTTGAGGTGAATCCCACTTGAGCCTGGTGTACAGTCTTCTTGATGATTTGCTGCAGTCTATTTGCCAGTATCTTATTGAAGACTTTTGGATCAATGTTCATTAGGGAGATTGGACTGTGATTCTCTTTCTTGGTTGGGTCCTTCTCTGGTTTTGCAATCAGAGTAATAATGCTTGCTTGCAGGAATGAATTTCGGAATGAATTTGCTTTCCTTACAATTTAATTAAAGAGTTTGAGAAGTAGTGCTATTAGGTCTTCATTAAATTTTTGGTAGAATTCAGCAGTGAATCCATCAGGGCCTGGGCTTTTCTTTGTTGATAGGTTTTTAATTACATCTTCAGCTTCATTTATTGATACTGGGTTATTTAGGATTTTTATGTCTTCTTGATTCAGCTTTGGTAATTCATATGTATTTAGGAAACTGTCCATTTCATCTGCATTTTCCTTTTGTTAAAGTACAAGTTTTCAAAGTAGGCATAGGTGATTTTCTGGATTTCTGCAGGATATATTGTGATTTCACCCTTTTCATTCCTAATTGTGTGGATTTGAGGTTTTCCTTTTTTTGATAAGGTTGACGAAGAGTTTGTCAATTGTATGAATCTTTCAGAGAACCAATTCTTTGATTTGATTCTATTGTTTTTTTAGTCTCCAGTGTGTTAATTTCTGCTCTGTTCTTTTAATTTCCTCCCTCGTATAAGCTTTTGGTTTAGTCTGCTCTTCTTTTTCTAGGAGTCTTTTATTTCCTTTCCTCTGTTTCTTTGCCTTTCCTAGTGGATTCCAGCTGCTGGAGTCCATGCTGCTATATTCCTTATTACTCTTTCTATAATGTCCTTCAGAACATTTTGGAGTTCTAGTTTGGTGGTCATAAATTTCCTCAGATGTTCTTTGTCATGGAAGTATCTTATTTTTCCATCAATTTTGAAAGATAGTTTTGTGGGATACATCAGTTGGGGTTGGAAGTTGTTTTCCTTTAGAACTCGGAACATTTCACTCCAAGCTCTTCTTGACTTGAGAGTTTATGCTGAGAAGTCAGCTGTGATTCTGATCGGCTTTCCTTTATAGGTGATTTGTTTCTTTTCCCTAGCAGCATTTAAGATCCTATTCTTGCGTTGAATTTCTGGACTCTTGACTATGATATGCCTGGCTGTAGGTTGTTTTGATCACTGGAGTTCTATATGCCTCACTTATTTGTATGTCAAATTCTTTTTCCCCATCAGGAAAGTTTTCTGTCATGATGTCTGTGAACATGTTTTTAATGTCATTCATGGTGTCTCCTGCTTGTTCATTGACTGATTAATCTTAAGTTATTCTTTGTCTCATCTAGCAGCTGCTGGATTGATTTGTCATGGTCCTTTGCTATTTCTGAGGAATCCTTCTTTTCCTGGCGGCTAACTGCAAACCTGTCTTCAGTATCTGAGATCCTGTCCTCACTTTGGCCTAATCTGCTTTGAATACTTTCAGTGGAATTTTTACTCTCCTGGGATATCTGCTTGGATCTGCTTGTGGATCCATTTCTTTCCCATGCTGTGTGTCCATAATTTGCTTAAACTTGTCTTATTTCTTTGTCTGTGTCTACTCGAACATCGCTAAGCATGGTGTGTATTTTGGTAATCTCTGTAGTTACTTTGGAGATTATTTCTGATTTCATTTTTTCCAGGGCCTCATTCAATTGCTTTGTTGTTTCGTCTTCAGAGAGACCTGGTGTGGGGCTTTCAGATTGTCCTACCTCATTTCCACCAGCTACTGCCTTCTTCATTGAAGTTTTTTTACTCTCTCTGTGGGCTTCAGTTCACACTTCAGATTATTCCTGGATCCAGGGGACCCACTTCCTTCCCTCTGGTCCTCTTCATGATGCTGTATTCCATCATCTGGACGGTGATTCTCAGAGACGCTGTTTTCTCTGCTGCTTACTGCTCCGCCATCTTCCTAGAAGTCCCCAGTGAATGTTTAAATTTAAGAAGTTTGTTGTAGTATGAATCATATAACCATTAATTCCTTTCAGAATACTCCGCCTTGTGTCAAATACATCCTATTGTCTGTCTTTCTTTCTCTCTCTTTCTCTCTCTCTCTCTCTCTCTCTCTCTCTCTCTCTCTAACAGGGTCTCACTATGCAGTTCAGGTTGGCCTTGAGCTTGGAGCGATCGTCCTGCCTCAGCCTCCTCAATGCTGGGGTCATCGGTGTGTGCTCCTGTGCCTGGCTTTGTTCTTGCCACTTTCTGAAGTGGTTCTGAAAGTCCTCTTTCATGAGTGTCTTTCTAAGTTATGAGGAAAAGAATAGTGACTGCACTGCCAGCTGCCATCTAACAGAAAGGCAGTCTTGGAAAAGCATCACCGTGTGTCCCCGTCTTCCCTGTTCACCAGGTCTGGCACTTCATGACTTCCAGCTCTTCCCCAAAGTCAAACGGACTCTGAACAGAAATGTTTTGGTTGAGGGCATTGAGGTAGCCGTGACAGCACACGGCTAAATAGCGGAGGACTTCCAGAGGGGCCTCAGAAAATGTCAGAATTGTGGGAAAGTGGCATTGTGTCTCCTACTGTTACTAATTTTAAAAAGATCACACATTCACCATACGTTTAGATCATACCTTGCGTTTATTAAGATTGGATGACATACAGATAGACAGAGGGGGATGGTTGGGACTTGAAACCTGTCTGGATAAGCTTGTTCGGGAAGACCGGAATCTGGGAAGACCTAGAACTTAGACTTAGGGGAATTCCTCAGTCCTACCAGTAGTGATTTCTTTCTTCTTCCTCTGTGGAGGGATATGTTCAGGCGTGGCCGTGCGTTAGGCTGTTAGTAGCAGGCTTTATTTCAAGCCACACTTGGCTTTGTTTCTGATCAGGGCAAGTGGGGCCAGTACTCTGAGTCAGCCTGAGTAATAATCTTGCCCCATGTCCAGGGTCCGTCTGTGGTTTGGGTTACCAGAGTCGAATTCTGGGAAGAGGCCGCTGGTGCCTGAGGGGCTGCAGGATTCTTTCCACCCCCTGAGCTAGCTGAGGAGTTTCCTGCTCTTTTCCTCTCACTATTGAGAACACGGAACAGATTCCCGCTGGATTCCTCCCTCTCTCTGGCTCCTCTTCTGCCGGTTCATGCATTTGGAAGGGAGCAGAAGGCTCTGGATAGATGTTCCTGGGTGGGTTCTACCTCTGGCCACCATGCAGTTCCTTATCCCTGGGTTCAGGCTTTCTCTGTAAGCCAGGATCTTGGCCCTGAGAAATGTCCCTGGAGTTCAGGCCGGGGCTGGGCTTGATGTGGTTGGATGTGTGCAGTCCTGGTGGGGGCTACCCACACAGGGAGGTATCAGTCCTGTCACTGGGTTAAAGGTCAGGACACATTTACTGAAAGAATGCCTCCCAGCATCATCTCAATACATTAAAATAAAACAAATAAAATACACACAAAAAGAAGAGGGTCCATTTAAGTAATTCTCCCCCCCCCTCCATCACTTTTTAAAAATCTCTACCCTGGAGCTAGGAGTGAGTTGCCTTTCAGACTGTAAAAGTCCAGGCTAAACTAATCCTCTGTTAAGTAGTTTTTTGTTGTTGTTTGGTTTTTGATGGTACTGGGGGTTAAATCCAGGACCTCAGGCATGCCAGGCAAGAGCTCTACCACTGAGCTGTGTCCCCAGCCTCTTCATTTTGAGGCAGGGTCTCACCAAGCTTCCCCGATTGGCCTCAGGTTTGCATTCTTCCTGCCTCAACCTGGCTAAATTTGCATTTTTCCAATTTATGTTTCTCCTGGCATTGGAAACACTAACAGGTTTGGGTTGAAAGGCCATGTTCTGTGGTCTCTGATCAATAAAAAACTGAGGTTAAACCCTAGGAGCTCTAAGACGGGAAGAGAGCTCAGCGGGAGAGCACTTGCCTGGTTGTATGCGAGGCCCTGGGTTTGAGTTCCAACACTGCAAACAAAAAGATGCCCCAAAGCCTTAAGAAAAAGCTGATTTATTATCATCAGGATGCAAACGGGTAAAAACACAGGATAGGTATTTAAAAGTTGGTCTTGACTTGTCTATCAGTGGGGGACCACATAGGAACCACCATTCCTTATCGCTCCAGCCTCCTTCCCTGCCTGGCTTTTCCCCGTTAGCTCTCAGCAGGACTAGGCACTTCCTTAAGGACTGTAGCTGAAATCTTGAGCTGAACCAGAGGCAGGCTGGCCTCTCCCGATTTCCCGGGTGCAGGGCAGGGTCAGGTGTCTCTGAACACCCACATTCACTCACTGTATGTGTCTTTCTCCACAGACAAAGAAGTACGCGGACGTGATCATTCCCAGAGGTGCAGATAATCTCGGTGAGTCTCTAGGGGAGTAGTAACTTCTGCCTTCTGTCCACCAAAGTTAAGGCAGGTTGTGGTGCCCCAGCTGGACTCTGGGGCCTGTGACTCTGAGCCAGTAGGGTCCTGCTGTTCATGTGACTTCCCTTGGGGAAAGGTCCCTGGGCATGGGCACAGAGGTGTACTGGGAACACAGGTGGGAACATGTGCCCCTTCCCTCCCCTGTAAAGGGTGCATCTTCCATTTGCTGTCACCTCCTGGTGGTGACACTCAGGTAGTTGTGTCTGAGACCACTTTATAGTCAAAGTACCCATTGTTTTTCTCTTGTTGCTAGAACAAAATAAAATACCCGACACTCAAAATTAAGGAAAGAAAGAAAGGTTTATTTAGCTCACAGTCTGTGGAGGTTTCAGTCCGTAATCAGCTGGCTCCAAAGCAGGGTGGCATGACGCAGGGGCAACATTTCAAGGTGGCAAGAGACAGCAAAAGCAACAAGAGCAAAAGGGCAGAGATATTGTAAGCCAGCTACCACAAGGTGGTTGTAACACTCACATCTCCGTGCCCTCCTCTCGCATTGGCTCAGGATGTTTACAAAGTGAGGACCCTGGCCCTCTGCTGAGTGCCTTGGTTAAGCTTCTAAACTTCTCAAGTTGACACAGTGTATCCACCGGGGCAGTACACTTCCTGCTTAGTGTTAATTTAGGTGGACCTGCCTGCCCTGCCATCATGCCCTACTTTTGGAAAGGAGCTGGTTGGTTGTAATACTGTATTTAAGTTATGCGCCTTGGCTTGTCTAGGAGCTGTGATTATCATTGCCTGACAGATCGAGGCTGCCACAGTATGTCTTCACATTCTCTTTGTAATTGGCTTCATTTTTCCTTCTATAAAAAGTGTATTTAAGCCAGAAGTGGTGCATACATGCTCTGAGAGGCTGAAGCAGGAGGATAGAAAGTTTGGACCCAGCTCAGGCAGCTTAGCGACCTAGTGGGCCCTGTCTGAAGATTAAAAATGAAAAGGCCTGGAGAGATAGCTTAGTGCAAAGGCCCTCACTAGGTTCAATCCCCAGTGCAGAAGAAAACAAAAACATATGTTTGTTTGCTGAGCTTCTTGGAGGTTTATCCCAGCAATTAATATTTCGTTGCATATTTTTAAAAGCACGAGGACAGTCTCGTGCAAAATCACAGTGCAGCTGCTGAGTGTGTTGGCACAGGCCCGTGGTCCCAGCACTTGGGAGGCTGAGGCAAGATGATTGCTGTGAGTTCCAGGCCAGGCTGGGGTATGCAGTGAGTTGAGGCCCAGCATGAAAAACATAGTGAGACCCTGCTCAAAAAAAAAAAAAAAAAAAAAAATCAAACCCCCAACCAACACCACCACAATGCAGCCATCAAGTTCATTGTTGCCTCCATATTTTCTCCTTTAATCTGGAACTATTCTTCTGCCTGTCCTTGGTTTTCATAACACTGATGTTTTAAGTATCTGGGCTGCTTGTTGGGTGGCCTGAGCCCCATTTTGGCTTCGTCCTGTTTTGCCTTGCAGCCTGAGTCCTGGGCATTTTTTCCATTCTCAGTAATGTTAAGGGCGACCACATGGTTGAAATGTCTGATTTATTACTAATGCTAATGCAAGACCGCTCTGCCCTACATCTTTGAGGGAATGCACCTTGTGGGGCGGAAGCTGTAGGTTTCTCCTTGGTCCAGTCAGTCTGGGGGTTGAGTGTTGTCCTGGAGTGGCCTTTGCCTGGGTCCTGTATGCCCATCCACGGGGACAGACCCTGTACATGTCCCTCGCCCCTGTTCTGCCCACCCTCACCTGCCGCTCTCTCCCCCACAGTGGCCATCAACCTCATCGTGCAGCACATCCAGGACATCCTCAATGGGGGTCCATCCAAGCGGCAGACCAACGGCTGCCTCAACGGATACACACCCTCACGCAAGAGGCAGACTTCGGAGTCTGGCAGCCGGCCGCACTGACCCTGCCGGCTTGGAGGCGCGTGGAGCACCTGTACATAACCGTTTCCTAGGACGTTGCTATATTTAAGAAGACACCATGAAGATGACAGTCTGTGGGGTTTTTCCCCCTTGCCCCTTTATTCCTTTTTATACTATGGAACGGCGAAATCAAACAGAACTTGATCTTGACCTAAAGTGACAAGACTGTGCCAACTACTACTGGTGATGCCTAATTATGACTCCACCGTGTAACCAGTTATAAATACATATTATACATAGATATATATATATATAAAAGGATCTATTTTTGTGTAAATGTACAAATACTGTAAAGCTGTGTGCCGTAAGTATTTTGCAGGGCCCGGATTGAGTGTTGCGGCCCTGGTGCAGGAGTGACATTGAGGGGACCCGGTGAGGTGTCTGGGGAGAGGAGGATTGCGTGGATGTCCCTTGCTCTTGGCACCTGTGGAGTTGGTAGCTGTGGGTTGAACCCCCATTGCCTCCCCTGTCCCATGCCACCTCCTTGCAGTTGGTGCTTGATGTGTTGACGAGGGAGACCCTTGTCTTTTTTTGTTTTTTGGTTTTTTTTTTTTTGAGTTGAAATTTAGGTGAGATCTCAACTCAAAATTCAAACTCAGGGAAGAGGCCACAGGGAGAGCAAGTCTTCTGTGTCCCTCCATACCTTGCTATCCTGCTTGGTCAGCTCCGTGGCTCCCTCCTCTCTCCACCCCTCTGCTTCTCCTTCCCTGGCTGGCCTTTTAGGGAAGAACTGGGGGAGGAGGGAGTGGAACCAGGCCTGCTCGAACGTCCTCTGGTCTCCCAGGGAAAAAGCTGATCAGAGTCCTTGGCTTTCTCCTATCTAATGGAACATAGTGTAGACCTTTGATAGGGGGCATCTGCTAAATGGCCGCTGGCAGCAGCTCAGGTAGCAGAGAAGCTCTGGCCAGGCAGGGGACAGAGCTGTGGGTTCACAGTGGCTGGCGTGTGTTTTTCACCAGGGACTCTGAGGTCACCACAGGGCTGGGTGATTGACATAATCACCGCACCACCATGTGAATATGACTGTCAGGTGGGGGACAAGGCGTTGGTGCTGGGGGAAAGAAAACCTTTCTTAAAAGTATTTTGAAGCATGGGTCCCAAAATGTCTTAAGAGGGTAACATTTAAGGGTTTGAGGTGGAAACTTTGAGCCCTCTGGAGAGCTTCCTGTCAGTGGGAGCTTCCTGTGTGGAGGAAGCGGCTTCCTGACCTTCTGCCAGGAGTGTTGGAGGGGCTGGAGCGACAGAGGTGGCAGGGGAGATCTGATGGTAGAGTCCGTAGCCTCGGTGGTTGTCATGTCGGTGGTGACTGTCTTAGTGTGTGGTAGCCCATGGCTTTCGTTACTCCTGACATTCTGGAGAGCCTTCTCAACCGTGTGACTCTTGAGCCTGTCTGAGCCACGCAGCTGTGACTCCAGTCCTGTCCCGTCACACTGAGCCCCCTCAGGCTCAGTGTACCATCCGGTTTGATTCCTTTTTTCTGGATTCAATTGGTCTCCAAACCTGTTTTTGCTATTTCAGTAAAGTCAACGCCAGTCCTCAACTAGAACTTTGCCACCCTGAGCTGTGCAGGAGGCTGTGCCGCAGTCCTGGTGGCCGTTGGCAGGGACGGCACCAGTGGCAGGGACAGGTTCCTCCAGGGGGACAGTCAGTCTGGTGCTCAGTGAGACCGAGCAGCCCATCCACTTCCTGTCATGTGGAGAGCAGTTGTGAGAAGAAGGGGGTGCAGGCCTGGATTAGCACCCTGGAGACACAGTGCCCTGGCCTTGCTGGGCCGTCTGTGCCGGGGACGCCTGCCTCAGTCTGGGGGCGCCTTGGCCTTCAGCGGGCTGCACGCTCCACTTTACTTGAAGCTCCCAGGTGCCAAACCATTTAGTGCCTTGGCTGTCTGTCCCACTGCCTTGAAGGAGGGATTCTTCTCATCTCTGAGCCTTTACTCACTTAACTGCTTCCTCATTTATCTACTTGTGGTGTTGGGACCAAGCCCCCAGGATCCCTGAGGAGCCTGCTCCTAGCCTGGGACACAGCTGTAGGGCGGCCTTATCCCTGCTGCCTTGTGAAATGATCACCTGTTTTGGAGTCTCGGGAGTCTCGGCTGGGCACTGCGACACTGTCTGGGGAAGGGAAAAAAGGGACTGGAGGCTCTGCGCTTCTGCGACAACCCATCACTGTAGCCACTGGTGTGTCTGCACTGCAGCTTTCTAGGACAGAGTCCTAGAGTGGGAGTCTTTAGGAATCTGTGGGTCTCCGATGCCACTAGCGTCGGGTGAGATGAAGCCGTGATGTTTGTCATCAAGGCACTGCCGAGCAGGAAGGAGGCACCAGCACGCAGAGTGGGGCAGTGTTGACTGCTCCGTGTGGGGAACCCCTGGCTTCTGAGCCGCCCACCGGTGCTTGCTTCCCCCTCCTGGACCAAGTGTCTGGGGAGCAGACATCCATGCCTGGCCCCAGGGGCCTGGCCTCACCCACCGTCATGCTGCTCGTGCCTCTCCTGCTGGCCTAAGTTTCTTAGTCTTGAGCTCACAGCCTGAGACTAGGATGAGCAGAGACAGGAATCTGAGATGGGCACAAGCATCGTGACTCTGGTGTCCTTAGGCATGGACAGGGTAGAGAGGCAGTGGGGTCTCGGAGGAACACTGGGGGCCGGAGGAGGTTCCAGTGCGCAGGCGCGGGGAGGTTGGCCCCTGCCTCTCCTACCCTTGGAATTGGATCCTTGTTGACCTATCCTGGGTGGATCCTAGATTCTGCAGGCCATAGGGGGTCAGGTTGGAGGCTTCTGGGATCTCGAGCAGTTGGAAGGTGGGAAGAACTGAGCCTGGCAGGTTGTGTATTAACTCCCTCCCTGCCCTCCTGCAGTTTCCTTGATTTAGCAGCCTTGATCCAGACCAGCACCAGAAAGTGAGGGATGCAGTGCTTTTGTGGGAGCTGTTCTCCACCCCTGTGGAGTCTGTGTGCCTCTCAGGGATCCCAACCAAGGAACTGGCTGGTGTAGGCAGGAAGCTAGGTCTGGTCCTGGGGTGCAGGTAGGGTTAGGAACTCGATGGCCATTCTGGCCCTTTGAGTGGAGCGGGGAAAAGTTTTGGGGTGCCAGACAAAACAGGTTTGGAAAGGCATTGCTGGGGTGCTTCTGGGGCCTTTCTGCCTTGGGGCTTTTGCTGCGCTGTGTCCCAGGAGCAGGTGACAGGTGTGACAGACCAGATGTATTGCTCTGCGAGGCAGTGGGCCTTCCTCAGGATTGAGGTGAGGGCCTAAACAGACTTGGGCTTTTCTTTCCCTTTAAGATGCTTGCTCCCCGCCCCCTTTTCTTTTTGTTGCTTTATCTTTATTGTTCCGACTGCATATTATGTACCTGGCTGTAAATAAAGACTGAACCGTAAAGCTCTAGCTCTTGCCTTTTTTGTGATGCTGGGTCAGATGCAGCCCCTGAGCCTGCTGGCTGTGGGGACCCAGCTGTGTAGGCAGGGCTGTCCCTTGTCCTGGCAGAGGACACGTGGTCATCCAGCCTGTGGGAGGCCTCGGGATCCTGGGGTGAGTGTGGGACGGGCCCCGGCCTCAGCTGGTCTGAGATGTAGGTGGGATCCCACTTCTCACCCAGTACAAAACCTGGGCTCTAGGGGTCCTGGGGGAGGCGTGTGGGTTCTCGGGACATTCCGTTCCCCTCATGCCATCTGGTTCCTTCTCTCACATCCACATGGAGAACAAAAACAAAACCTAGGTGAAATAAACTTCTGAAGGAGCAGGTATGTGACGGATGGAGGAAAGCTTGCGTCACCAACACACAATTTCTAGCTGGATATTTTAGTGCTCTGCAGTTCATGAGTGTTTACGTGTGTCCTTCCTTGTTTTTAAAGGTCACCTACCGCTGGGGTCTTAAAAGTAAGTGTCCTGCTCACCGCAGCACACCAGCTCCTGGAACCTCACCCACTTTTTCTCAGCTCCTGTCCTCTGCACCCGCTGCCTTCCAGACAGTCACTCGTCCCCTTTGACACTTGCCACCTGGGTAGGAATTAAGCAGATCTTTTAATAGCACCTGCCCTTGGCAGCTTGCTGTGTTTTTAGAGGATGCTTGGGTGCCTCTAGAATCCACACCTATCCATCATGCTGTACTGTCGGTTACTGCCCTCATGAATCACCGGGTTTTGCCTCTGGGCACAGGTCATGTGAGCTGTTGCTCAAGGGTGGTCCTGGGTCATGGTCCCCCTCTCCACTGTCTGCTTGTCCCATGAGGACCACCTCTGGGCCTAACTGAGGCTTGGTTTGCTGTCCTTGGTGGTGGTGGTGGTGGAGTGCAGGGTGGGATGCTCTGGGTCGGTTTGTGCTCCCATCGTGGGTCCCAGTGTGCTGCGAGGTAACTTCTGCTCCACAACCAGAGACACTTGCCTGACCAGTGCTGGTTGAATCAGCCATTGATGAGGCAGGTTAACGAAACCAGCCATACTCTCCTTGGAGGCCTTCAGTGTTGTTTAGGTTTTTGTGGTTCTGGGGATTGAGCCTAGGAACTGCACACTGACCTCCATCCCAGCCCTTTAATATTTCTTCTTTTGAGACAATGTCTCACTAGGCTACCTAGGCTGGGCTTGACATCACAATCCTCCTGCCTCAGTTTCCCAGAGTGTTGGGATTTCAGGTGCGTATCACTCCTCCTGGCTGAGGTTTTAAATACAAGGCCAGAGAGAGGCTTGGGGTGTAGGGCATTGGTGTTTCGAGAGGAGGAACCAGGGAGACGATCTTTATCATTCCATGCTGGGAATGTTTGGATTTCTGGTGTTTTCTTCTCTCCACATTGGCTATACAGATAAATGGGTTTCATTTTGGCGAATCTGCACATGCATGTAACATGCTTTAGTTATACCTTCCCACCTTTTAATAAGGTCAGTTTCCAAGGTAGGGTGGTAGCTAGCTCGATGGTTGAGTGCTGGCCTAGCATATCCCAACCCCAGCATTAAGGGAAAAAATATCATTTTCTATACCCAAAGTGAAAGAAGGCCAGATCTTAACATGTATGCTTTTATGTTTTCATAAACTGTGATTTGAAACATGGAGGAATCAATTTGATCTCTGACTAAGCCTGGACCTGTTTTTTTCTCATTGAAATGGATGGAGGTAAAAATGGAAGGAAAATTTGCCTTACACAAGTTTTTCCCACAGACGAGCCCACAGTTTACCCTCAGGTCTGTCCGCGCTGCACCCGGGCGCCCACAGTAATAGGTTCAGTGCAAGGTTCATTGAATTCTGATTGTCCAGTTCCAGAGAAATCCACAGTGCGTCTGCCCAAATAGCTTCCGTGCCCAGGAGCCTGTCACAGATAATTAGCTGATTGTGATAGTCACCGTTGACCGTCGCTGCCTTTGTCACACTTTCCCATTAGCCTTAAAACAGCCCTGCAAAATGGCGAAGATGTGGGCATCTGCCTGTTTTACCAAGTGGGAAACCAGCGGAACACAAAACAGTGGTGCGGACCTTACGGTAAGACGGCCTGGAGCGCGTCTGACACCTAGTGGTAACATCCAGACTGCAGCAGGAGGGTGCCTGAGGGTGCCTTTGGGTGCCGTAGGAAGGAAATATGGTTGGCTTCTCTGCTCTAAAAGGGTTGCCCGAGCACCCTTAGAAGCCAAGATGGGATTTTAATTTTTGTCAGAATCCTAGAGTCAAAAAAATAGAGTCAGATACTCTGTTCCCTGGTTCTGCAGAGGTAGCCTGGGAGTCAGATTGCTGGCGGGCACCGGCGGTCTTCAGTAGGGAACCTCTTGGAGGGCCAGGGCTCCCCCAACACTCAGGGTTGCCAGCACTCTGGTTGATGGATGTGCCTCATTGTTCTCATTTTAAAATAGTTTTGTGCCTGAGACTCCTCTAATCTACAGAAGGACCTCAGAAGTTTTTGCATATATGAAATAACATCTAAAAAATAAAAGGCAACATTAAATACAGGTGCCAAAATCATAAATACAAACCTGTGACACAGTCATATACGTGCTACTTGATAAACACATCCAATAACAAGATTCAGTGGACAGGTCCAGTAACCACACTTGTGTGGTACCAATGAGTTTAGTGAAGTACTGGGATTCTTCAACATCCATGTTTATGCTGATAACCATGATTTCCACTGCTGATGAGTGCAGCTAATAACCTAGGATGTGTCTGTCACCTTCCTGATGGAAGGAAAAGCTAGTTTTCTTGGAGTTGTCACTCTTCAAGTTCATGGATCACCTTGTGTTCTTCGTCTTCCAATTAAGAACCCCTGATCCAAATCTTCCAGGCCACCTGGTGGCTGAGGTAAACTGGGGGTGTCCCCTTTCCTGTGTGTCTTGGGAGCTGGCCAGTGGCACTGGGTTTCTTGTGAGACAGCTGTACCAGCCTGCCCAGTGAAGGCAATGAGGACCACAAACTTAATTTAGCACCAAGTGATTAAAAGCAGGTGAGACTAATTAACATACTTTTACTTATACATTCAAAGTGCTATTACTACTTCATCATACAATGAGCATAAGGATTGTTCATGAAATAGTTTTTCTTTTTGCTTTTTTGTTCCTTTTACAGAGACTCATAGCATGAGTACTGGTACTCATAGCATGTCTCAGTTTGGGCCAGCCGCGTGTTGAGAGCTCGCTGGTCACACGGTTCGTGTCTGTCTCAGGGAGCAGCACGTGGGTGGACATTGTTAGATTTGTGTTGTCATGGGGCTGGATAAGGATCTTAGTTGAATGCTCCCAGTGCATTCAGGGGATTCTGGGATCAGGAGAGAGGAGCTGACTCTCCCAAGTGTCGATGTCCGCTCCCGGCCGGCAGGAAGGACACACGACAAAGTCTGGTAGTGGACAACCTTTTCTTTTTATTTTCCTTCTCCGTACAGCCTGCCCTGGGTTCTCCCAGCTGAAGCCTCCTCTGGTCCGCTCCCCGCGGCTCCTTTTGTGCTTCAGTCTGCCCCAAAGCCTCTACCGGTCCGCTATCCGCGGCTCCTTTTGGGCTTTTACTTCTGGGCTTCTACCTGGCTTCTTCTTCCGCCCAGGGGTGGCACCGGTATATATACGGGTACAGTGTCCAATCATGTTAAAGTAAGCAAGGCAAGCTGATTGGCTAACATCATCAGTTGCCAGGCAGACTATATTGTTGAGCGGGTTGTTTACGCGGTAAGCAGGAAACTAACATATTCGATGGGAGGGGTAATCTACCTCAGGCTTTGCTCTTTACCACAGGCCGCACGTCCGCCGCGCAAGGCGAGCTATCACAGACGCGGCTCCCAACATCTCCCCCTATTTTATTTTTTATGAATGTGCGCATCGTAGCCCTTCCTGGACTGGGTGCAGAGGCTTATGCCCTATGTGTAGGTCCACCGTAGGTCCTTGGCTTAGACCCTGGTTGGCCATGCCATGGTCTGCCAAGGCCCTGAGGCCCTCGTCCTTTTTCTAGGGCCAGACACAAACTGGACGGAACCTGGATGCACACAAGCTTGCACTCATTTCCTCTCCATAAAGAAATCCCCTCGGAGAGAAATTTAGACCTGGGCAGCATCTAACAGTCCAGTGGCTTACGTGCAGGATGGGGTAGGGCCTGGCTTAGGTCGAGTCGTGCTGGGGAGGCACGCTCTTACCTGTCATTGACTCACCTACCCTGCTGTGTATTGTCACCTTATGGAGGAGAATGAGGGATGCCCGCCATATCTAGACTCGGTCGTGGGCCAATTGAGCAAGCCATGCATATGCCTGAGGATCTTCTTGTCCATTTCGGGCTACCGCTATTTTTATTCATCTTATTGGTTGGTCTGTGATGGATCTCCAGTAGGGCAGGTCTGATCTTCAGTCGAGGGCTTTGTTGCCCGTGTCAGTCTCTCCGGTATCCACAGTGGTTCTCGTCCCGGTTCCTGTGGGAAAACACAAACCGCGCCTCGGTTCCAGCTGATTACCGGATCCGGGCCCATCCATTGTCCTGTCAGGACATCTTTCCACTTCACCCACCCTTTATGGTTGGGGGAAGGGTTGCAGTGCTCCACAGCTGGGGAGCGATTATCATTATTTAAATTTAAAAAATTGTGTGTGAATAGTGCCATGTATGGGGCCAGGCCTTGGCCTACTCCCCCTTTTTGTTTTTGTAAAATTTCTTTGAGGCTTCTATGAGCCCTCTCAATGATTCCTTGACCTTGGGGATTGTATGGGATACCATGTTTTAATTGAACCTCCATCATTTTGCAGAACTCATTGAAGGCTTTGCCTATATAGGCTGGTCCATTATCAGTTTTTAATATTTTTGGTTTGCCCCATGCGGCCCAAGCCGCCAGGCAATGATTGATCACATTAGACACTTTTTCACCTGTTTCTGCTGTTGCAAATATGACGTGAGAACAGGTGTCTGTGGAAACATGAACATATTTAAGAGTCCCAAACTCC